AAATGATATGTAGTTTTGCAAAACAGGGATTAAGGTAACATGCTTTTCAAAATAGCTGTCCAGTGTTATAAGTTTTTTTTCACTTCTTAGGTTTCAAAAGAGATCATTCTGGGCTAGGGTTGTGGCTCAGCGATAGAGCGCTTGCCTCGTGCATGCACGGCCCTGGGTTTAATCCTCAGCACCACATAAAAATAAATAAACAAAATAAAGGTATTGTGTACAACTAAAAAAATAAATATTAAAAAAAAGAAATCGTTCTGTGAGCGTTACAATTTTTTTCTCTACGAATATGTTGTGTATCTTAGCACAATAGGTTCTTAAGAGGGCTGTATAGAAAGTTGTTTCATGGAATTTTTTTGTTTTTAATTTTACCTTACCTATAGGGAAATTTTTTTTTAAGACAGAGAGAATTTTTTAATATTTATTTTTTTAGTTTATGGTGGACACAACAGCTTTATTTAATTTTTATAAGGTGCTGAGGATTGAACCCAGCGCCCCTCGCATGCCAGGTGAGCGCGTTATCGTTTGAGCCACATCCCCAGCCCAGGGAAATATTTTTTACATAACCAGACTGACTCAGGAGATATAGTTTGCAAGGCAGTAATTGTTAAACTGTATTCTCATCCAGAAAGAAATGGTTTGTAGTGACTCATATATTTTTGTTAGAAGGCTGTCCCCAAGATCCATACCACAGGATCATAATTAGAACTATAAAATGTTGAAATCATGTACTTTTCAGTTTTCAAATGTTTTAGGTGTGAGATACAACTAATACTAAAATTCACATAGTGTTGGTTTATCGTACAAGGTCTATGGTATTCATGGGGGTAAAATTCATTCTCGTATGTTTGAAGCCAAAATTCCCAGTCTTTTTTCATAAGTTAACTTTTGCCTACAGTTACTGAAATGTACTAAATCTAAAACTATAAAAGACCACCCAAATGTCTATTAAATTTTCTAAAGGTGTTCTGTGGCTTAACATTGCTTCCTCCAATTTTATATGCTTGGAATCTTCTTGAAATAGCAACCATCCACTTTAGGGATTAAAATATAAATTCCTTATACGCTTTATACACCTTGTATTTAAGCTTTTGAAAGCCTAAATGTAAACTATTATAGGTTGAAGGTATGCTTATAATGCCTTGCCTCAGTATTTTAACACATTATAATTAAAATTGGCTCATTCTTTCCTGAATTTATGTCCTGATGAGAAGGTACACCACATTCCTTAAGTGTGTGTGTGTGTGTGTGCGCTCCTCTCTAATGTTTTCTCATACGCAGAATTTCCTCTGCTGACACCATGGGATTACCAGATGTGACATTTCTTTGTCATTTTCTTAACTATGTCAGATTGGATCAGTACTTGAGGTGCAAGACCTCTTGGAAGAGTGTTTGGGAAAACAGTCCTTTATAGAGCTGATGGGAGAGGGAGAACTCAACACATGCTCCTTCAATCTCCAGGACATGAGAGAATGGTATTTCCTTTCTTTGCTCTTGTAGCCATACATGGTGGCACTTGCCTGTAATCTCAGCTACTTGGGAGAGTGAGGTAGGAGATTAGGAAGTTCCAGAACAGCTTCAGCAACTTAGCGAGACCCTGTTTCAAAATGAAAAACCAAAGGGCTGGGGATGTTGCTCAGTGATAGAGTGCCTAACATGCACAAAGCCCTGGGTTCAATCCCCATTACTGCAAAAAAGTTCACATAGATTTTGTTACAATACCTTTGGCTCAGAAAATTGTGTCCAAGGGGTGGGGATATAGCTCAGTTGGTAGAGTGCTTATCTCACACCATGGGTTCAATCCCTAGCACCACAAAAAAAGAAAATTGTGTGAAAATAATTAAATATGATGTTAGGATTGAAATTCTTCTAATATGAGCCTTTTATTTTCCAATGAGAAAAATGTTTTAGCATTGACCTGAAAGATACTTAGCCTTAATTTCAGTTATGAGCAGCTTTATGCAGTTTACTCAGGTATTATAAAATATTTCATTTTAACCTACAAAGCCCATCTTTGGTACATTTATTTGTATATTAGTTTATTTATTTAATTATTTTATGTGGTGATTAAAAGCCTGGGGTTGTGGCTCAGTGTTAGAGCATTTGCCTAATACATGTGAGGCACCGGGTTTGATCTTCAGCACCATGTAAAATAACTAAATAAACAAAAGTGGGCTGGGGATGTGGCTCAAGCGGTAGCGCGCCCGTCTAGCATGCGTGCGGCCCGGGTTCGATCCTCAGCACCACATACCAACAAAGATGTTGTGTCCGCCGAGAACTAAAAAATAAATATTAAAAAATTCTCTCTCTCTCTCTCTCTCTCTCTCTCTCTCTCTCCTCTCTCACTCTCTCTTTAAAAAAAAAAAAAAAATAAATAAATAAATAAATAAATAAACAAACAAAAGTATTGTGTCCATCTACAACTGAAAATATTAAGGGGGAAAAAAAACCCTAATTTACCTTGAACTTTAGGACCCAGTTTCATCTATTTATTTATTTATTTAAAAATTTTTAGTTGCCAATTGACCTTTATTTATTTATTTATATGTGGTGTTGAGAATTGAACCAGTGTCTCACACATGCCAAGCAAGCACTCCACCAACTAAGCCACAATCCCAGCTCTCCAGTTTTAAACTGTTTATTTCTATTAATTTTGAGCTAAAATCATAGAAGACTTAAGCAATTTTGTTGTTTGCAGATGTATTCCAAATCTTTGGAAACTAAAGAAACATGCATATTAATTACCTGGTTGAACTTATGCTAGAACTTTGGATTTGATCTGCTCTCTTGTAATAATGTCATAATACTGGATTTCTTTCTTTAACAGTTGATTAAAAGTGGGACCACTGTAGTTTGGAATTTACTTGTTTGTCAGTGTTCTAAAAGGAATAGGTGCTTGTTTCTCTTCTCTTTTCTCCAAAATGTTGGGCAGCTTGGCCTTTTTTGCCTTCAGAGATGAATTAATGTTAAAACAGGAGCACTTTAATTTAATAAACACCATATATGTTTTTAGTTATTTTAGTTATTTACCATATGTGTTATGGTCTTGGTTCTCTTTTTTTCTTCTTGCTTATTGTGTTATTTAAGGTTCATCCTAGAGGCTAAAAGTGTTGACATACAGAGAATCCATTTATATGAACTCTATATGACTTTATGTAATTATAGATTCTACATCTACGTTATACTACTACAGCCTCCCAAACTATAAGATAGTAATATTTTCAAAGATTGACCTGTAATGTGTTTTTTTCATATCTTTTATGGGTGCATTAAAATTATACATAATGGTGAGATTTGTGTTACATGTTTTAATTAGCCCAATCCATATTATACTAACAGAAATGACCCAGATAATAAAAATCATCAAGTTCTCAAAGAAGTTTGGTGTGGTATATATTAGTATGGTTTATCTAAAGCCTTTTATTGGAAGTTTAATTTGCCTATAGGCTAATTTCTTTCAGATTTGGGGCATATGTTTATTTGCGTAACATTATTTTGTATACAAGAAATTAATACTCACTTCATGGACTGCTTTAAAGTATATCTTGTCCAGTATGTATGATTCCTGGAAATTCTTTGAGATTATTGAAAATCGTGATTAAGCTGATTTAATACACTATATACATGCCCTGCATACCTCTACATATTTTCTTTTTTTTTAAAAAAAAAGAGAGAGAGAGAATTTTTTAATATTTATTTTTTAGTGTTCAGTGGACACAACATCTTTATTTTTTTATTTTTATGTGGTGCTGAGGATCGAACCCAGCGCCCCGCGCATGCCAGGCAAGCGTGCTACCGCTTGAGCCACATCCCCAGCCCCACTTCTGCATATTTTCAAAGATGTTACTTTGAGCAATAGCAACCTACGCTAATAGGTTTTTGTCCTCTGGCAATAGGTTAGCAGGACTTTATACTATGTAACTAATTAATGGAATTATTAATTTCACATGATATTTAAATGGAGTAAAAATAATTTTAATAACAATTTTATTGATGATTCACATACCATATAATTCATCTATTTAAAATGTAGAGTCAGGCTGGGGTTGTGGCTCAGTGGTAGAGTGCTCGTCTAGCATTCATGAGGCACTGGGTTCGATCCTCAGCACCACATAAAGTAAAATAAAGATATTGTGTCCACCAAAAAACTAAAAAATAATTTCTTTTAAAAAAATGTACGAGTCAATGGTTCTGAGTGTATTCACAGAAGTGTGCAACCATAATCACAATTTTAGAACAAACTCATTATGTAAACCCTCTGCTCATTAGCAGTCATTTTCCAGTCTGCCCCCTTATTCTTCCTTTCCCACCCTAGCTGTAGGCAATCACTAATCTATTTTTTGCTTCTATTGATTGTTCTGTTCTGGATATTTGTAAGCAGGCTTAAATATGTGGTTATATATGTCTGGCTTTTTAGCTTGACAATTCATCCATATCACGTATATTAGTTTAATTGCTAAAGTTTGTTTTAAAGATTATTTTGGTATTTTTCTTCCTTTGAACTGCTGTCTCTTCCTTTTTACTGTGAAATAAACCCTAAGATCTTTAGTCATATTATTATAATTTCATAGAGTAAACCAGTTCATTTCTGTAAACCACAAGCAGTCATCTGCCTGATCTTAGAGCACTTCACAGGTTATATGTTCTTACCATGTTTTTAGAGAATGTGATCTTAAGCTACAGCCAGTGGCAAGCCCAGCTGAACCAGGCCTATCATTGTAACTAAAAAAATTATTATGTTTCAATATAAGTGTGTATCATTAACAATTTTTTTTCACTTCTAAAAATATTTCATTAGTGATTATTCACTGGAGAGTATCAGTATGATGTTAGAAATAAAATTTATGGTCCTTCTATTGCTTAAGGTTTCATAACATCAAAGTGCATGAAAGATAAAGTTCTGTTATTAGCTACAGAATTTATATAAATATGCAAGAAGACTCAACATGTTGTATTAATCTTTTTTCTTTTTGTTATTTTTGAATATGTATCTTCTTAAGGATCCTTCGAAAAATGATACATGCAAAAGGTTGGTATCCCATTAAAAGACTTCCTTATATATAATGTCTGACAAAAGATTCTTTCATGAATATTCATGTATAACACACTTAAGAGTAGTGGTGTACACCTGAGGATCTTAGCAACTTAGCAAGATCCTGTCTAAAAAAAAAGTAAAACAAAAGGCTTGGGGCATAGCTCAGTGGTAAAGTACCTCTGGGTTCTGTCCCCAGTACCAGAACAAAACAACACAAAACAAGACTAGTCTGGGCAAACACAAAATAAGAGTACAGTATGACAGCTAGTTCATTTTTGGTCAAAAATCATTACAAATTTAGTAGTTCTTTGACAGCAGTAAAATTAATTTTTACAGTTTCAAGCATTTTCAATAATCTAAAAGATTCACACCTTGAGTAATTTTTAAATCTTATGATGACATAAAGATGGAGTCATAGTTATTAAGAGGCCATTATGCAAGGGCAAGTACCTATGAAGTCAGATCCTGAGTGTGTGCTGTTCATCCTAGCTTGTGACTTCCACTTCACACTTAAGTTTCAGTCAACCCTCACAGGTGCTATAATTATATTTTAAACAGGAAAAGATTTATTAGAGTCATATTTAGGAATTTGGGTTTTCTCAGAAGTTTGCTTACAGTATATACCTTGCAGTATTTTTAGTAAAAGGGTATTATTAGCTCTGAAATGTGTAAATTACCATCCCATAAATGTCTCTACTTGAGATGACTGTGGAATCCTTGGCTTATAAAGAATCATAGAGATGATGTAATACTGTATGCTCTGTCTTTTGGAGATCTCAAAGGATTTTAGGCAGAAAATATCTTTTTTTCTTCTATAAAATACCAATTCTTTTATTTGAAGTAAAAGGCATCATATAAAAATACGTATTATTGGTAATTTAAGTTTCCTCAAAACTAAAGACTTTGATTCAGCCAAGTGCTACATAAAGATTTTGAAAATAGCTTGACATGATGGCACAGCCTGTAATCCCAGCTATTGAGAAGCTGAAGCTATAGAATCCAAGTTTGAGGCCAGCCTAGACAACTTAGTTAGACCCTATCTCAAAATTTTAAAAAGAGGGTGACTAGGGCTGGGGACGTATAGCTCAGTGATAGAGCTTGGGTTCATTGCCCAGTACCACAAAAATTTGAAAATATAGGGGTATAAACTTGTAGTTGATTTATGCTATACATAAAACTGATTAAGAATTATTAATAGAATACATAAAGACTTCTTGCAAATGAAGTTTTTAAAAATTAATAGAATATGAGAAAAAGATTTATGACTTTACAGAAGAAAAAACACAAATATAAGCATATGGAAAAAATTTAATGTCATTTATCACCAAAGACATACAAATTAAAATCATAGGTATAGCTGGACATGGTGGTGCATGCCTTAATCCCAGTGACCCCAGAGGCTTAGGCAGGAGGATCACAAGTTTAGGCCAGCCTCAGCAAGACCCCTAGTAACATAGTAAAACCCTGTCTCAAAAAGTAAAAAGGTTTGATGATATAGCTCAGTGATAAAGTGCCCCCGAGTTTAATCCTTAGTACCAAAAAAGAAAAAGAATTATAGGTAGCCAGGCGTGGTGTTATAGGATAATCTCAGCGGATTGGGAGGTTGAGGCAGGAGGCTCAAAGCCAGCCTCAGCAACTTAGTGAGGCCTTAAGCAACTCAGTGAGACGCTGTCTCTAAATAAAATACAAAAAGGACTGGGAGTGTGGCTCATTGGTTAAGTGCCCCTGGATTCAATCCCTAGTACCAAAAAATAAAATCACAGATATATTTCACACCTACTAGCTTGTTAAAAATATAAAATTCTGAAAATTAGTAGACTTGGTTAGGAAGTGAATCACTAAGTCTTTTAAGCACTCTTATGGCAATATAAATGTGTACAATCACTTTGGAAAACAATTTGACATTATCTAGTAAATATGAATAACTTTTAACCCAGCAATTCCCTTTCTAAGTATATATTCAATAGAAATATGTGCACAAGCTAGATATGGTGGCACTTACTGATAGTTCCAGCTATTTGGGAGGCTGAGGCAGGGGTCACTTGAGACCAGAAGTTCAAGACTAGCCTGGGCAACATAGCAAGACTATATCTTAAAAAAAAAAAAGGGGGGCTGGGGATGTGGCTCAAGCCGTAGCGCGCTCGCCTGGCATGCGTGCGGCCCGGGTTCGATCCTCAGCACCACATACCAACAAAGATGTTGTGTCCGCCGAGAACTAAAAATAAATAAATAAATAAATATTTAAAAAAAAAAGAAAGAAAGAAAGAAAAGAAAGAAAGAAAAAAAAGAAACATGTGACAAATATACCAGGAAATACATACAAAAATGATCATAGCAGCATTATTCAAGGTATTCAAACACTGGAAACAATTCACTATTCATGCATTAATAAAATGAATGAATAAATTCATATGTATCTATACAGTAGAATACTACAAAGAAAAAAAATAAGTGTATCATAACTACATGCAGTAATTACATGCAATAACCTGGATGAATATCCAAAGAAGAAAATTCTATCTTATGGCATGAAGTTATTGTTGAATCTAGTTCTCCTTCAGTGCAGTATAAATGCATTTCCCCTGCTTCTCTTCTCAGTAGCTGTTAAGTAATGGGAAGATTTTATTAGAATTGGTAGTCAACCATTCTGTCTTTTGTACTGAAGAGTTTTTCTTCAGAGTTTACTCAAGGTTCCTACCTTTGGACTTAGTCTTTCATGGTTGCTCTTCAAGAAGTCTGAATTCATTTTTCTTACGGGGACATTAACAGCCACATTGCTATTACACATGCCATCTTGATTGTTTTTTTAAAAGGCCAAAATTCTAAACATGTTCAAGAGTAGCTTTTTGCTATTTTTCAGTGTACAAAGAGCTAGGCATGCTTAGGCAAAGAGAATCATTTTGCCATGAACCTTACTGGTTTTATTGACTTGGAAACCTTTTAATACCAAGTCTCGATATGTCATAAGTTGAGGGGGCAGCCAGGTCATTTGGATCATGGAAGAATTACATCTTAAAATTAGAAATGGTTTTAAATTCTATTAAAAGAATTAAAGAGAATTATTACTGTTCCAAAACTCCTCTAAGAGAAGTCTGTAGTACTTCTTAATCCAAGGGTCATTTGTTTATCTCTTTAGAACTATCAATGATGTTCTGTATGCATGTATGTCCTTTAGTTTTATAGTGTTAATTTAAGGAATTTTTCTTTTGAGGTACTAGAATATGAACCCAGAGGTAGTCTACACTGAGCTGCATCTCCAGCTGTTTTATTTTTTATTTTGAGACAGGGTCTGACTAAATTGACCAGGCAAGACTCAAACTTGTAATACTCCTGCCTCAGCTTCCTACACCACTGATATTATAGGTATGTGCCATCACACTTGGCCATGAGGATTAAATTTTTAAAATACATAAGAATACTGTTTACAATTTGATAGTGTCACTTCTAGATTTATAATGGGATAGATATATAAATACCTATATGTTTATGAAATGTATCTTATTCTATTTTCCTAAATATTTATAAATATTAATTTAGACTGGAGGTGTAGGTCAATGGTAGAGCACTTGCCTAGCATACACAAGGCCCTCAGTTCTATCCCCAACATCACCACCAAAAAAACCCAGAAAATTTACAGACTATATGGAAAACAAAAGCACAAAGAAAAATTTACACTATCCATAGTCCTATAACCCAGAAATAACCACTCTGTCTTTATAGAAATATCTATAGAAATATATGCATATATATATATTTATTTTTTTATATCATTTAGTTCTGTTTTTAGCCTCTTAAAAAAAAACTTGCTTTTTAGTATTGTCACTTCAAATATTTTGGAGTTTTTCTAGCTACGATGTGATAAAAGCAGTTAAATTTCTCAAAGTAAATCAAAGGCTCTTGCCTACATAAATATTAAAATGTGAAAGGTGAAAGGTAGTGAATGATTGGTATAAAATATTCACAACTTCATTGCTTTTTTTCTTCCTATTTCTAGTTGCTGGGCATATTGGATTTTCCCCATCATGGGCGCTGTTCTCGTAGGTTTCCTGTATCGTTACTACGTGGCGGAAAGTAAATCCTCCTGAGGAGACCGTGTTGAAGTGTGGGAAACACAACCACTTGGGAGTAAAAATTGGAGACTTGCTGTGAGGGCTATATTGGTGTCCTCTTGCTTGAATCCTGCTGGTTGTATTCTTCCCCCTTGGAGCCAAGACAGTTGACCAGACATCCACCTCCAATCTGGGACCAGTGTCCTTCATCTCTGAGAGCCTTACTCCCAAACTACCTGCTCACTGTCCTGTGTCTTTGCCATGTTTCTTCTCTTATTTCCACAGTATCCTTACATTTCAAACATTTGTGTTAACGATTGTAATTCATATGTCATAGTGACATTATTCTTTAGAACAAATGCTCGCTTTCCAGTAATTTGAATGCACATTATACATTCTTACCAAGGCAGCACTCTAATTTTGAAGGTTTTCTTTTCCCATATTTCTTTCAAGTAAATATTTTTTAAAATTCTGATAATTCTATTATCACAAGAAGTTTATTCATGAAGTTAGGTACACATCTGTTAAAACACACTGCCAAATGATCTTGTTCCCTTTTATATTTGTTAAAAGCAGAAAGAACTATGTGGTTATCTCCCTTGCAGGCTAATATAAGCTGATAGCTCCTCCCACTCCCAGCCCCTTTTCATTCCAAGGGATGCTGAACAAAGATGTGCCTCCCTTTGGTTTCTTGTGGGTGAGAAAAGCCAAAGGAAGGGAGGGATGAATTGAGGTGACAGAACCCTGGCAAGTTCAGAGTAATCTTTTGAAAACACTACTTTAAGATGGGAGTTTAGAAATGACACCAAATCTTCTCTTTGATTTGGCACTAATTTCTAACCGTCTTTTTCTACCTTTATTTTATTGGTAAAATATAAGTGTATAATTATGTCTGTAGAGCCTACCAGGGATTCTTGCTGCTGTTTTGTTTATCAATTAGCAATTTTTGGTTCCCAGTTTTACACAAGTAAGAGATTTCAGTTTGGTCTTTTGTTCATCCGAGTAAAATAACTTCCATATAAAATGTCATTTGAAAGTGGGAGATCATGACAAAAAGCAGTTTTCCATTTCATCTGTATTTTACCTCCATGGCTCCAACTTGTGGTTTTGTGCTTTCCATTAAGATTAAAGAATTGGCATTTTTTTCCCCTTCCTTGGATGTGTGTTTCATTGAAAAGTAGGTTATTATTTAGAATTATTTACTATTTCTTATTGGGCCAGGTATTCCTCTGGCATTTTTTACTCCTCTTTTCCCCTACTGCCCTCACCACAAGGAAGCACCTAAATAGATAGTTTACTGGCTGTTTTGTGTCAGTAGCTATGGTGATTTTTCTCTCTATTCTTTGAGGATTATTAGTTTGCTTCTGGGCCATTGTCATTTCCAGCAAGGAGCAGCTGGTTCAGAAGGACTATAGATGCTGCTCAGAATCTTCTCCCTCCCTTCCAGTTTGCCTAGTACTTGAGGAGACAGGAAACTGACCAGTAAACCAAGTCTGCTCATTACAAACTATTTAAGAAAAAGTTCAACCCAGATTTTATATCCTGTGACTTAGAAGTTGAATGAATTCAGAATTCATCAAAATAATATTAATCTTTTTCTTGCATACTTGGATATGATATTTTGGAGTTATTTCTGGCTGACTTTTTTTATATATCTGACATGGATATAATAAAACTTTTATCTTTAGAAAATATTTGTATTATAAGATGCTACTTTAAGAAAATGCATTAAATAGTTGGCTATTATGTAACAAGTAGTATGACTTGATACACCTCCATTTAAAGACAAGAAAGGGTTGTCTTAAATAAGGATTGGTATGTAATTGCTATAATAGTTAAGTTGCATGATTACTTGGAGTGGATTGGGATAGAGGTAAAGAACAAAGGAGTATTGAGGACTTGGAAATGGAATGCTCAAAGCTAATGCTAAGCTAGAAGATAACTTGGATCAATTGTAAAGTATTTTGGCAGTATCTAAAATTGAGTGAAAAACACCTGGCTTACAAGAAATGCTAGAAGAACTATAGTCTTAAGTAAAATTGGTGTTTTTGATATTTCTAGGGGAAACGCCAGACAGTGTTTTTCTATTTCACATTGATTTTTTTTCCCCCATTTATATGTGGACTTACTAAGAGCCAGAGGGAAAAGATTTTTCAGACTTTGTCTCTATTGTCCTTGAAATCCATGTAGAACCCAGGGCTTCTTTTGAAGTACTGCTAATACTATGTCACTTTGTATTATAAAAAACAATTTTAAAGTCCATTTACTGGGCTGGGGATGTGGCTCAAGCGGTAGCGCGCTCGCCTGGCATGCGTGCGGCCCGGGTTCGATCCTCAGCACCACATAC